GCAGAACCGGAGGATGATCCCAGACTCATTTCCTGTTACAAGCCAGGCCCTGGGAGAGTTTCAACACGCTGCAGACGTACCCGGCAGAGCTGTCTCCTTGTGGGGGGAGGGAGCAACCCAGCCACCCTTCTGAGTCAAGAGCCTGGCTTGGTCACGACTCTGGGTTATATTCCCCGTGCCGAGCAAGTCCCTGTACCCCCATGCCTCAGTTTCCCCCTCTGTGCACATTACTCTCCGGGGTTCATAACCGCTCTCTGGGGTCCGATGAAGTGAGCTGTAGCTCACGAAAGCTTATGCTCAAATAAATTGGTTAGTCTCTAAGGTGCCACAAGTCCTCCTTTTCTTTTCTCTGGGGAAGATTCCTCTCACGACCCACCGCCCTGGGGTTGTGCAGTGCTGGCTCCAAGGTGCTATCGCATCACACCTGATACCCACTGCGCCCGCCAGAGCTCATTTCCCAGCCCCCTCGCCGCGGCCAGGTCTGGAACAGGTGGGACGGCCGCAGCCAACTCCCCGGGGTGGGTAGGAGCTCTGGGAAGGGCTGTCGACAAAGCTGGGCCCGATGCCAGCTTGCGATATGACGGCAGCTTTGTCTCAAAGATGGCTCCGGGTCCTCGGGAAACGTGGCGAGGGCGCTGGGCGAGGACCCCGGAGAGCAGGGATTCGCTCCTAGCTCGGTCCGTCTCCCTGAGCACGACCGGCTCGTGAAGATGATCTCGGCACCTTTGGGGATCCGGGCCCGGTTCACGGCACAGACGTTCAGCACCTAGGGACTCTCGCTGGATTCCAGGGTTCTCCATCTCTCGAGGGCCACAGCCAAGAACAGACGCTCTCCTGGAAGACGATTTTGGCCAGCACAAGCTCTTGGGCTCAGGACAGGGGAACTGGGGAGAATTTTCTAGCCTGGGTAAAACAGGAGGTCACAGCAGCTGGGCTAAACTCTGGGACTTCGGCATTTCTCTTGTGGCAAACAAGGCCACTCCAAACGGTCACTGAGGATTTGCCGTCACCTGCTGCTGTAGGGGGGAGGAACGCCGGGATCTCAGAGAACGTCTGGGCACGGTTGCAAATTCTTTCATTCCCAGGCTTGCCTCGGTGCCCGCAGGGTGGCTCCGAAGAGCTGGTAATTCCCCCAGACTCAAAGCATAGAAGAGTTTGCTTGTCTTAGGCCTAGAAACAACATTGGCCTCCCCCTCCCGCCTCTTAATAGCCCGTTGTTTGGTGGAAGAGAAAGGCTGTATTGTTTGCAGCCACCTCCTTTCATGCTGGCTGGGCCTCCAGCGGCGTACTGCACCAGATAGTGACATCTGCCTTCGCCCCGAGGACGTCGGCCGAACTGGAGATGGTCCAGAGAACCCTGAAAACGGGGGAAAGAACTGAGCGTGTTGGCCTAGAGAAGACGGGGTGGGGGGCGGAGGGGGATGCCAACTGGTCTGTGTCCAATTAAGCTGATTGCAAGGAGATTTAGGGCAAAAGGTACGGCTGAGCTGGGGCCCAGGGGGGCATTAGGAGGAGAAATCGGTGCCATGAGACTGGTCAGTTCTTTCCGGATTTCGGTCGGACGCCAGCAGGCCTGGGGTGGCCGGTCAGCGTCCGTGGCTGCCGTCCCCTGGCACGGGTAACCGAGAGCGGCTGGGGGCGGTGCGTGGCGTTCTCCGCCAGTCCCCTGGGAGGCCAGGCAGGGCGCGGCCGCCAGCAGCGCACAGAGGGGCTGTGGCAATTCTCGTTTCCGAGCAGCCGGCAGGATGTGGCTTTCGAGCCGGCAGCGTTCTCTGGGTGCGCTGCTGGCTCCGGAACCTCCTGCCACTGCCTCGGCCAGTGCCCACTTCCTCCTTCGCGCACCATGTGACGGGGGACGGATCCAAACCCAGGCGGCACACAGGGGTGGGGGGGAGCCCAAATCCCCTCGACGCACCCCCCTCAGGGAGGATGCCCTCGCGTGGGCTGAAGGGACCCTGCCGCGCCAGAGGGGACCATTAGATCACAGAAATGTAGGCCTGGAAGGGATCTCAAAGCCCCTTGCCCTGAGGCGGGATTATGCAGATCAGGATGGGTCTGACCTCCCGTGCGGCACTGATGGCCCCCACCTACCCTGGAGGATCTGGGCCCCAGGAAACACCCTGCCTAGCCCTGAGCAGCAAAGGGAAGGAGGGTATTTGGGTGGGGGAGACCCCAAGCAGGGAGTCAGGATGCCTGGGTTTGCCTTAGTCTCCCCATCCTGCCGTGCAGGAGGGACCTAGCCCCGTGATCCTCCCACACCAGGGTAGGGCATGGGGGTTGCTCCATTGTCAGCCGAGAGTCTAGAGGGGATGTCTGGGAGCCCGAGGCTGCCTGCCTGCCCGCCCCCCACCAGAGTCATGGTTGGCCCACAGAGACAGATTTACCCGGCGGGGACGCTTATCCTGGTCACCCTCAGCTCAACCCCCTGCCCCAGGAGAGCGTCCACACTGGGTTAGGGGAGTTATCCTGGGATAGCTAGATTGGTATGAAACGAGCCAATCCGGTCCATACAGTGAGCAAGCCCCAGCTTTGAACCAGTTCGGTTCTTAGCCCCAACATGTCCAGCTGGGGGGCTGGCCTAGACTGAACCCTTGTCATCATCTCCAGTGATCCCTGGCCCGTCTTGGGCCCATGGCACCCGTTAGCTCCTGGCCCTCTCGGGGGTCGTGATCTTGACGTATTTATAAAAAGCTAACCCGGCCTCACTCTGGTTCCACCTGCAGCACCCTCTCCCCCCCCCCCCCCGGCCCCCGAGATAAAAACAAGGCTGTATCACCCAGCCCAACCGAGGACAGCGTGTGTTGCGCAAGGCTCCCGAGTTCCCGTTCCACGCCCAAAAGACACCACAAAACGAAGCCGCTGAGCTGAGGGGAACGCACTGAACCAAGGGGCACACATTTCAGCAGGAACGTGCTGCTCCGGCAGCGGGCGTCACGGGGACTCGATTATGGGGAGGGAATCCCGGGGCTCTTTGATCCGGCGGAGAAAGGCAGGACAGGGCCCAGCAGCTGGAGTTAAACCCAGCCCCGTTCCAACGGGAAACGAGGCACCGTTTTTTCCTCATGGCGTAGGTGACTCGCCATTGGCACAAGCTGCCCAGGCCAGCAGGGAGACTCCATCTCTTGTGAGGCAGGCCAGAGCCTTTCTGGGAGATGTTCAAGGCCAGCCCAAGGTGTGGGGCTCCATACGGGCGACCAGGGTGAACTCTCTGGCCTGGGCTAGGCAGGAGGTCGCGCTCTAATGGACCAGCGGAAGCAGCCCAAGGCCAGCTGCTCATCCCCTGCCCAGGGGAAACTGACAACGCAGCAATAGGAAATGCTTTATTAGCTCGGCCCGACACGGGAGCACCAGAGCGAGGCCTGGGGACGGCACATAGTGGTTCCTGCCTGACAGAGACCCTGGTGGGCGGCTGAGCCTCCGGCCAGCACCTCCAAAGGGCAGGAGACAAGTCCCCCAGCCCCAGGGGCACAGCAGCAGCTCCATGGGCACTCAGCCAGAGGGGTCAGGCAACAGCCCCAGAGGTGCCAACTACGCCCCAAACCGGGTGTACTCTCCGTCTTCCCCCACCAGAGCTTTCTCCTCCTGTGACAGGACTGGCCGATCAGCCGTCCACACCACCCCTCTCGCCCTCTTTGACCTTCCCGCCCCCCTCAGCCCACAAATCATGCAATCAACAGGCCCGTCACATTGGTCACTGGCTGGGGTGTCCCGCCCCTTTCCCACCCTTTGATTTTTAAGCCTTTTTTTTGTTTTGTTTCTAATTTAAATGTTCACAGCTGCACAGAATCACAGGGGGGTTGGTTCGACAATCACTGAATGATGTAGCTGCTGAGATTCACAAAGCGACAACGTCAAAGTATCACAACAAAGTCTCAACGGGGCAGGTCAAAATACACAAAGCAAACGGCCTGAGATCCACGCATCAGACCCCCGTCTGCTCTTCGTTGGCTAAGCCCATTGGTAACTCACCTACTTCCAAAGTCCGGAGCCCTGGACTTCAACTAGTAAGTTCTCAAGTCGCAGATTTCTTCCTTTGCCTACCTGTACATTTCAGTTGTGGCTGGAATATATATCTGGCCCTGTGGGTGTGTCCAGGGAAATCAACGCTGACCGATAACAATCGAAACCAGGTTATGGCCAGAAAGAACCATCGAGTGACCTCCGGTACATTACAGGCCATTACAATACTTCCCCCAGCTCACCCTGCATGGAGCCCAGTCGTCTGTGCTGGGCTAACGCATCTCCCGGAAAGGCTCTGGGCTGGGTTGGACACCATCCAGAGATGGAGAATTTGCCACTTCCTTTGGGAGTTTGCTCCCCTGGTTAACTGACCTCTCTGGGAAAAATCGGTGCCTCATTGCCCATTGGAATGTGTCTGGCTTCAACACCCAGCCACTGGGCCTCGTCCTGCTGTTCTCCACTGGATCAAAGAGCCCTGTATACCTGGGGTTTCCTCCCTGTGCGGGTACGGGAGTGCCAGACGGCACCGTGAATCTACGCACTGACAGATCAGACTGCAGCGAGTGCAATTAACGACCCAGGGCTGGAGCGGCCTTTGAAATCTCTGCCTCGTCCTGCCTGGCGGGTCAGAGCCGAACACAGTCAGCCCAGCCAGGACTCCCGCTTCCATTGCTGGCTGAGGTGCATTTCAGCCCCCCAACGGCATGGGTATGACAGGGTTCAGAGACACGGACCGGTAACGGAGATGGAGTGTGGCTACCCTGCGCTTCAGGCACTCAGAGAGGGGAGACAGAGGAAGTGTTCTGAGTTTGTGCAGCGCCTAGTGCCAGAGCGGACCAGGGCTCCCAGACACTACCACAATACACCTAACAAATAACGCCCAGCACCTAGCACCGGGGGTCCCGGGACTCAACAGGTGCTCCTGCCACACAAGTACAGACAAAGTGACTTGCCCAAGGCCACGCAGACAATCCATGACTCAGTTTCCCTCATCTGTAAACAGATACCTCCACTGTCTGAGAGAGTGATGCTTTGCTGGGGGTGGGGCTCTTGGCTCCCACAGGAACAGGTGCCAGCCCCGTGTCCAGATGGAACCAGATCCAGTCCTAAGGACTGAGCAGTAGCACGGGAGAGATGCTGTTTCGTGCCCCACGGCGGGGGCTCGGGGTCTAGCTCTCCAGCTGCAGCAGAGACAGAGGATGGAGCACGCTGGAGCCCGAGTCCTTATCGTGTTCCTAGAGGCCCCCTGGCCCCGGCACACAAGCCCCAGCCGGCCGAGGGAGGTTGCAGCGCAGCCCCTCACCCAGCGCTCTGGGCACGGGATCCGGAGCCGGGTTTGCTCATAGCTGAGCTGAAGGAAAAGCTGGAGTCAGCAGACAATTGACTCACACGCTGCTGAGCGACAGAGGGGATCTGGGTCACAGCTGGGACTGAGGCTGGCCTGGCAGGGCCCACCCGAAACGCAGCCGAGGTCTCAATGGCTTCGATTATTGCAGACAGGGCAGGGGGCCGGTGAGAAGGGGCTGGCAGCTTTCCAGCTGGCGCAACGACCATGTTATGCCAACACAACCGGCTGGGAGCTGGCCCTGCGATTCGGGGGAGAGCAAGGGGACGTCAGGGAGAACGTCATAGCCTTAGGGAAGTCACGCCCCTTTGTGCCTCAGTTTCCCCCTGGTGTATGTTGCTAAGTGAGGGCTTAGCTGAAGGAAGGACGATATAGCGGGCCTGAGACACAGGAGACCTGGATGTAGGAATCCCCTTGCTCCAGCAGACACCCTGGGTGACTTTGTGTGAGGCAGGCTGCTTTTCCATGCCTCGGTTTCCCCATCTGTGCAATGGGGATCATAGGCCCTCCCTGCCTCCCAGGAGGATCAATACATTAGAGCGTTGGGAGGGAGAGGTGTACCTAAGGCAGACACACAACCCCTCGTGCCTCAGGGCTGCAGCCGAGCTAACTCCAGGGTCAGGGCGAGACGGGAGGGCAGGTGACCCCACACCTTCCCGTGGCAAGGAGTTCCGCAGGTTAACTGTGCGCTGCACACTTCCTCTTATCTGTATGGAACCAGCTGCCTATTCCTTCGGTGCGTGACCCCTGGTGTGTGTGTGTTGCGTGAGGGGTAAATAACACTTCTCTCGTCCCCTTCTCCACTCCAGTCATGACTGTATAGACCACTAGCAGGGCTGTGTGAGCAAGCCCCCCTCCCGCCGTTCGCAAACCAAGTTCGGCCGGGGCTCTGTCACTGCCCCACAGTCTGCGCCTCAGTTTCCCCCCTCTGTCAAATGAGCCTGACTCCACCCACCAGTCACACAGTTCTACTCCCGAGTGGCTCCCCCAGAGGGGGCGGGATGACCGGGGCTGTTCGTTTGAGCCCCTTCCCAGCTTGGACAGCAGAGGCAGAAGGAAGCAATTTACACGGTAGGGCCTAGGTTACAGTGCTGTCACTTGTGAACTCTGACGTGACTGAAAGCTCACCAGGGCCTGGCCTCTCCTTTCAGGGACTGCCCATTTCCCCGCCAGAGGAACGGCGACCTGACGCCGTTCCTCCCACGGCCTCCAACACCCTGGCACCTGCAGCGCGGACACACCCCAAGCTAAGTCCTCCTCTGCTCTGAACAAAGGCAAAACCGGGCTGAGCTCGTTGCTGCAGGCTTGGGAACGTTTCGGGGGTGGGGGGGAAGAGTCTAAATACAGGAATGAAAACATCCCTCCCGGAGGTTCAGCAGGCAGAGGAAATAAACCTTTAAACACAGCCTGCGATTAAAATAAACTTTGAATTGCAGGCTCCTGAAACGACCCGGTTCCCCTTCACGCTGCCGGTGCTTTTCCAGGAGCCGTCCTTCTCGGGAGAGCTGAAGCAGTGCTGGGTTTTCTAGTACAGCTCGTGAAGAGCTTGGGATAAAAAACCTGCAGCGTGAAATCCCCGACCTCGCCTTACAGCCCGTGACAGCTGGTGGATTTGCGGCACAGAAAGCTCTGCGGCTTTAGGCTTGTTCTGGCAACAGGCCTTGGGCCCGGAGAGAGACAGAGTTACAAGAGGGACAAACCGGCAGCGTCCAAGTGGAACACACGCCGTTTTACGAGGGGGACGCGAGCCAGCGTGCTGAACAAGGCACAGTCAGAGCTGAATTCCCTCAGGGCTCCCATGCCAAGGGTGTCTTTGTGGCCAACCTACCTACTGTCCCGCGGCGAAGCGGGGCCCATGGAGGGGAGACACGGCCTATGCCAACCCACCTACCGTCCCGCGGCGGAGCGGGGCCCATGGAGGGGAGACACGGCCTATGCCAACCTACCTACCGTCCCGCGGCGGAGCGGGGCCCATGGAGGGGAGACACGGCCTATGCCAACCCACGTACCATCCCGCGGCAGAGCGGGGCCCATGGAGGGGAGACACGGCCTACGCCAACCTACCTACCGTCCCGCGGCGGAGCGGGGCCCATGGAGGGGAGACACGGCCTACGCCAACCTACCTACCGTCCCGCAGCGGAGCGGGGCCCCTGGAGGGGAGACACGGCCTACGCCAACCTACCTACCGTCCCGCAGCGGAGCGGGGCCCCTGGAGGGGAGACACGGCCTACGCCAACCCACCTACCGTCCCGCAGCGGAGCGGGGCCCCTGGAGGGGAGACACGGCCTACGCCAACCCACCTACCGTCCCGCGGCGGAGCGGGGCCCCTGGAGGGGAGACACGGCCTACGCCAACCCACCTACCGTCCCGCGGCGGAGCGGGGCCCCTGGAGGGGAGACACGGCCTACGCCAACCCACCTACCGTCCCGCGGCGGAGCGGGGCCCATGGAGGGGAGACACGGCCTACGCCAACCCACCTACCGTCCCGCGGCGGAGCGGGGCCCATGGAGGGGAGACACGGCCTACGCCAACCTACCTACCGTCCCGCGGCGGAGCGGGGCCCCTGGAGGGGAGACACGGCCTACGCCAACCTACCTACCGTCCCGCGGCGGAGCGGGGCCCCTGGAGGGGAGACACGGCCTACGCCAACCCACCTACCGTCCCGCGGCGGAGCGGGGCCCATGGAGGGAGACACGCCTACGCCAACCCACCTACCTCCCGCGGCGAGCGGGCCCCTGGAGGGGAGACACGGCCTACGCCAACCCACCTACCGTCCCCGCGGGCGGGCCCCTGGAGGGGAGACACGGCCTACGCCAACCCACCTACCGTCCCCGGCGGGCGGGGCCCCTGGAGGGGAGACACGGCCTACGCCAACCTACCTACCGTCCCGCGGCGGAGCGGGGCCCCTGGAGGGAGACACGGCCTACGCCAACCTACCTACCGTCCCGCACGGAGCGGGGCCCCTGGAGGGGAGACACGGCCTACGCCAACCCACCTACCGTCCCGCGGCGGAGCGGGGCCCCTGGAGGGAGACACGGCCTACGCCAACCCACCTACCGTCCCGCGGCGGAGCGGGGCCCCTGGAGGGAGACACGGCCTACGCCAACCCACCTACCGTCCCGCGGCGGAGCCGGGCCCCTGGAGGGAGACACGGCCTACGCCAACCCACCTACCGTCCCGCGCGGGCGGGCCCTGGAGGGAGACCGGCCTACGCCAACCTACCTACCGTCCCGCGGCGGAGCGGGGCCCCTGGAGGGGAGACACGGCCTACGCCAACCTACCTACCGTCCCGCAGCGGAGCGGGGCCCCTGGAGGGGAGACACGGCCTACGCCAACCCACCTACCGTCCCGCGGCGGAGCGGGGCCCCTGGAGGGGAGACACGGCCTACGCCAACCCACCTACCGTCCCGCGGCGGAGCGGGGCCCCTGGAGGGGAGACACGGCCTACGCCAACCCACCTACCGTCCCGCGGCGGAGCGGGGCCCCTGGAGGGGAGACACGGCCTACGCCAACCTACCTACCGTCCCGCGGCGGAGCGGGGCGGGGCCCCTGGAGGGGAGACATGGCCTACGGCAACCTAGCCTGGAGCCCGCTCCATCTTCTCCAGGTGAATGAGGAGTTTCAGCAAGTACCCCTGCCCCGGGCCCCCTGCCTGCGCTTCGGGGTTTGCCATCGCATTCTCCCAAGTCCAAATATTGCCTGCACCGTCGGAAATGAGCAAGAGCCCCCGCGAGGAACAGGAAGCCGCCTCGGGGAAGGGAAGAGTGCCACCTGGCAAGGCGCTACGGGGGGCGCTGAACGAAAGGGACAGAGAAAAGCCCCACCCCGCTCCCCCCACGCAGTTTTGACACAAGTCATCATCTGCCCACCGCAAAGCTGCTCGGAAAAGGGAAGAGAGCAACTTCTTCTCTGTTTGCCAGAACATGCCACAGCACAGCCAGGGGAAGTGACTGGCCTGAGGTCACCCAACAGATCAATGGCAAAGCTAGGAATGGAACCCAGGAGTCCTGGCTCGCAATGCCCCTGCTCTGACCCAGCAGCCCTCGCTCCCCTCCCACAGCCAGGGAGAGAACCCAGGCGTCCTGGCTCCCAGCCCACCTGCCCTAACCTACCAGCCCCCTCACCCCCAGAGCCAGGGAGAGAACCCAGGCGTCCTGGCCCCCACTCCACTGAACCAAGCCAATATTCCATGAACTGACATATTACTTGTAACAACAGAATGTAACGAAATGGGTTGGAAACCCTTTAAGCCACCAGCAGAAGAAGGAAGTTAAGTCCCCATGACTCAGCCTTGCCACTCAGACCCAGAGCACCCCAGAACGTCTGTCCTCTGTGGGCCTTAGTGCTCCTGCCACGCCCCCAGGGACCACCCCCAGCAGCTACACCGCAGCAGCTTGCCCCTGCTCAGCCCCAAGCCCTGGGGATCAGGGCTCGGCAGCTGCACAGCCCTTAGCAAGTCAGCTCGAACAGGGCGAGATTGGTGCAAAGCAGCTGTACAGGAAGCGGCCCGGCACGAGTATCGTAAACAAAGAGGAGGGCAAATCACAGGGGTGGTACAAAATCTGGGGCCAAGGGACTCGCGTGGCGAGACTGCAAGGGGGGTTCCCCACAAACCAGTCATCGGGTGAGAAACCAGAGGGTGCAGAGAAGAGCCACAAGGATGTGAGGGCGAGAAAGGGAGAGACCTAAGGATCTCTAGTACCAGGCTTCCCACAGGGCCACCCCGTGTCTCGCCATCCCGTCCGCATGTCCCCGTCCCTGCCCTGACAAAGCACCCCGGGGGCTGTGCGTCTGCCTTAGCTGCATGCGAGCACCCCCAGGAAGAGAAAGGATGCCTCGGGAGACAGGGGCTGCCCTGGGAATTCAGGAGAGCGGGGTTCAGTTCCTGCGTGATCTTGGGAAAGTCAGGTCAGCTCTGCCTCAGTTTCCCATCTGTAAAATCCCTTTGCCTTGTCTGTAGGTTGCCTCCTATTTGCACCATAGGGCCCTGATCTCGGGGCGACCGTAACACCCATCTCCAATCCAGTCAACGGTCCACGAAGTCACCCGTTTCGGAGCCGTTTCACTTCCAGGTGCCTCAACGGCGCACCGTTCGCAAGTTTCCTTGTTTGCAGGAGAGACGCTGGTGGAGCCAGACGGACGGCGACCGGGACAAAGTGACAAAGTGTAGCAGTGACCCGGGCTACAGGCCGGCGCCAGGCCTGGACTGGCACCCCGGACGCTGCCCGGGGCCGGCGAAGGCCATCGCGGGGCTGAACGGCGCGGTGCCCTGGGGCACAAAGGGCCGTGTGTCTGGCCCCCCCGGCCCATCAGAACGGCTTTGTCTCGGCAGCTCCGGCCCCCGGGCGCCCAGCCCCCGGGGAAGCCGCCGACGCCAGAGCCAGCAGGAACGGGGTGCGAAGAGCGAGGGGACGCGGGCGAGCACCCCGGGGTGCGGGGCGTGGCTACACCCCGGGGGGCAGGATTCGCCCATGGGGAGGGTGTGGGGGCCCGGAAGCAGCTGGGGGGCAGAAACCGGGGGGGGGGGTGGCAGGGCGGGGCACCCAGGGGCAAAGTAAAGGGGGCGGGGCCTGGCAGGGCGATGTGATGACAAGGGGTGCAAGGGGGCGGGGCCTGGCGAGATGGGGGCGGGGCATGGGGGAGCCTCCACAGAGAACAGGGGCTATGAGGGGGACCAGGCAAAGGAAGAAGGGGCGGGGCCGGGCGCGAGGGGGGCCGTTGGCGGGGGGCGGGGCCCGGCGCGAGCGGGGGCCGTGGGCGGGGGGCGGGGCCCGGCGCGAGCGGGGGCCGTTGGCGGGGGGCGGGGCCCGGCGCGAGCGGGGGCCGTTGGCGGGGGGCGGGGCCCGGGGCGAGCGGGGGCCGTGGGCGGGGGGCGGGGCCCGGCGCGAGCGGGGGCCGTGGGCGGGGGGCGGGGCCCGGCGCGAGCGGGGGCCGGGGGCGGGGGCGGGGCCCGGGCGGGCCGTTGCGGGGGCGGGGCCGGCCGAGGGGGCCGTGGGCGGGGCCCGGCGTGGGCGGGGCCCGGCGCGAGCGGGGGCCGTGGGCGGGGGGCGGGGCCCGGCGCGAGCGGGGGCCGTGGGCGGGGTCTCACCGGCCTGGGTGGTGTCGCTCAGGTCCCAGCGCCGCGCCGCGCCGCCCGGGAAGAGCCGCAGCCGCCGCCCCGCCAGGCTCAGGCTGCCCGACGCCGCCGCCTCCTCCAGGGCCCGCTCGGTGGCGGGCCCGCCGGGCGCGGGCGGCGGGGGCAGCTCCGGCTCCGCCTCGCCCGCCGCCATCCCGGGACCCGGGGACTCCGCTCGCCGCGGCCGCCGCTGCGAGACTGGCCGGCTGAGGCCGCGAGGGGGAGCCAGCCCCAGCCAAGGGGGCGGGGCCGGGACGCCGCCGGGGCCAATCAACGGGCAGGGGCGGGGCTCGCAAGGAGGCAGCCAGTGGCGCCTGGCGGGGAGCTCCGCTCGGCCAATCAGGCTTGAGGAGGGCGAGGCCTAATGCCACACGGCAGCCAATCCGCTCTGAAAGGGCGCGGCCTCTGCCTTAGCCTCACCCAATCACAGCGCCTCTAGGGCACCTCACACGGCTGCTACTCTGAACCTAGGGTAGTTTAGCCAACCCGATAACAGGAGGCGGGCCGTTTCAAAAGCTCAGCCAATCACGTCGGGGAATGGACAAGTCGGCTTGCCCCGCCTCAGCTAATGGCAGCGTAGAAGGCGGAGCTAGCCTACCCGCCGCAGTCAATCATATCCCAGGTGGCGGGGCTTGAGTTCCATAATGACCCAATCCCAAGGCTAGCTCTCCCCAACCAATCAGCTCAGAAGCTGTGGGGAACGCCTCACCTGATTCAGCCAATCACATTAGGAAAGGCGGGGCCTTCCTATGATTGACAGCATATCTACTTATCAGAACACGGCTCCGCACGCGTCTGCGTCACAAGGCGGCAACAGTTGAATGTGGGAACTGCCTGGTATGGGGACGGAGCTGTTTCAGCGGCTCAGCCAATCACACGCGGAAGAATGCGTTGCATGTTAAGAGTGACAACTGACTGGCCAATCAGAGGGATATTCCCGTCCGAGGGGCGGTAAATGCCGTGAAGCGAGAGTGACAGCCCAGCTGGCCAATCAGAGCGCGAATCACCACAGGGGAGGCGGGAGATGCCCTGAGCGAGAGACAGCGCAGCTGGTCAATCTGAGAAAGAATCACTCCGGGTGGGCGGGCACTGAGAGGAGAATGACAGGGCAACTAGCCAATAGCAAGAGAAGGAGATGTGAAAAAAGGGCGGGACCTAAAATGAAGACACCCATGACTACCTCAGGCCCATCCCCCTCTCGTGCGAGGCCTCGGGGGGAGGGGAAGCCCCCCCCTCTCGTGCGAGGCCCCGGGGGGAGGGGAAGCCCCCCTCTCGTGCGAGGCCCCGGGGGGAGGGGAAGCCCCCCTCTCGTGCGAGGCCCCGGGGGGAGGGGAAGCCCCCTCTCGTGCAAGGCCCCGGGGGGAGGGGAAGCCCCCTCTCGTGCGAGGCCCCGGGGGGAGGGGAAGCCCCGCCTCTCGTGCGAGGCCCCGGGGGAGGGGAAGCCCCCCCTCTCGTGCGAGGCCCGGGGGGAGGGGAAGCCCCCCCTCTCGTGCGAGGCCCCGGGGGAGGGGAAGCCCCCTCTCGTGCAAGGCCCCGGGGGGAGGGGAAGCCCCCCCTCTCGTGCGAGGTCCCGGGGGGAGGGGAAGCCCCCCTCTCGTGCGAGGCCCCGGGGGGAGGGGAAGCCCCCCTCTCGTGCGAGGTCCCGGGGGGAGGGGAAGCCCCCCTCTCGTGCGAGGCCCCGGGGGGAGGGGAAGCCCCCCCTCTCGTGCGAGGCCCCGGGGGAGGGGAAGCCCCCCCTCTCGTGCGAGGCCCCGGGGGAGGGGAAGACCCCTCTCGTGCAAGGCCCCGGGGGGAGGGGAAGCCCCCCTCTCGTGCGAGGTCCCGGGGGGAGGGGAAGCCCCCCCCTCTCGTGCGAGGCCCCGGGGGGAGGGGAAGCCCCCCTCTCCTGTGACGCCCTGGAGGGAATTGCTCCAAATCCCACCTCAACCCCCAAGACTGACCCACAGAGGACCCCAGGGCGGCACAAGGGGGCGCTGTGGAGTGGGCAGCAGGGTGGGCTGCAGCAGGGTCTTTGCTGTGGGGAGCGGGGCCCGGCCTGAGGTCCCCGTGGGGCGCTGTGGGGCGGTGTCCAGGGAGCGGGGCCCAGCCCGAGGTCCCCGTGGGGCACCATGGGGCGGTGCATAGGGAGCGGAGCCGGCCTGAGGTCCCTGTGGGGCGCCCTGGGGCGGTGTCCAGGGAGCGGGGCCCGGCCTGAGGTCCCCGTGGGGCACCGTGGGGCGGTGCATAGGGAGCGGAGCCGGCCTGAGGTCCCCGTGGGGCGCCCTGGGGCGGTGTCCAGGGAGCGGGGCCCGGCCCGAGGTCCCCGTGGGGCGCTGTGGGGCGGTGCCCAGGGAGCGGGGCCCGGCCCGAGGTCCCAGAGGGGTGCTGTGGGGCGGTGCCCGGCCCGAGATCCCCGTGGTGCGCTGTGGGGTGATGCCCAGGGAGTGGGGCCGCCCCGAGGTCCCCGTAGGGAGCCGTGGGGCGGTGCCCAGGGTCCGAGTCCCCTCTGCTCCCAGGGCAGGCCCGGCCCGAGGTCCCAGAGGGGTGGCGGGCCCGGGTCCCCGGGGCGCCGTGGGGCGGTGCCCAGGGAGCGGGGCCCGGCCCGAGGTCCCCGTGGGGCGCTGTGGGGCAATGCCCAGGGAGCGGGGCCGCCCCGAGGTCCCCATGGGGCGCTGTGGGGCAGTGCCCAGGGAGCGGGGCCCGGCCCGAGGTCCCTGTGGGGCGGTGCCCAGGGGGCAGAGCCTAGTCCAAGGTCCCCGTGGGGCGCTGTGGGCCAGTGCCCAGGGAGCGGGGCCCGGCCCGAGGTCCCTGTGGGGCGGTGCCCTGGGAGCGGGGCCCGGCCCGAGGTCCCCGTGGGGCGCTGTGGGGCGGTGTCCAGGGAGCGGAGCCGGCCCGAGGTCCCCGTGGGGCGCCATGGGGCGGTGCCCAGGGAGCGGGGCCCGGCCCGAGGTCCCCGTGGGGCGCCGTGGGGCGGTGCATAGGGAGCGGAGCCGGCCCGAGGTCCCCGTGGGGAGCTGTGGGGCAGTGCCCAGGGAGCGGGGCCCGCCCTGAGGTCCCAGAGGGGTGCTGTGGGGCGGTGCCCGGCCCGAGGTCCCTGTGGGGCGCTGTGGGGCGGTGCCCAGGGAGCGGGGCCCGGCCCGAGGTCCCCGTGGGGCGCTGTGGGGCGGTGCCCGGCCCGAGGTCCCTGTGGGGCGCCGTGGGGCGGTGCATAGGGAGCAGAGCCCGGCCCGAGGTCACAGTGCCCGGCCGTGAGGTCAGAGCCCGTCACCCCGGCGCCAGGCTCTGTGAAGCCGTGGGGCGGGCGCCAGCTCACAGAGCCATGTCCCGGGGCCCCCTGGCCAGGCTGGGGGGCTGCGCTGTGGGTCGCTGCAGCCTCTGCCCAGTGGCCGGACCCGGGCGCCGGGGGCGCGGGCAGGGATGGGCGACCGACGCTCCGCCAGGCGGCTGCGGTACCGGCGGCTCCATCGGGGCTCCCGGCTCTCGGGGGGCGACGAAGCCGTGGGGGTGAGCGGCCCTGGGGGGTCGGCCCTGGGGGGCGCCGTGGGGCAGGGCTCGGCCGGGGGCTGTGCGGGGCAGGGGGTGGGGCAGAGGGCTCGGCAGGGGGCACGCCATGGGGCAGGGGAGGCTCATTGGGGGCACTCTCCCCTGGCTGGCCCCATAACAATCCCCCTCCCCCCCAGCTGTCCGATCCCAGGGGCGCCCCACGGGTTGGGAGGGCCCCGAGCCTGCCCCACCAGCTGTGCCAGCCGCCCCGGGCCCCTTCCTCGCCTGCTAGCCCAGCCCCCCGAGGAGCACCACGGGGGGCAGTCAGTCGCCCTTCGGGGGTCATAGGGAGAGAGCTGGGGGCGGTGTGGAGCTGTGGGGCAGGGGGGATGCTGTGGGGAAGCAGGGGGCACAGGGGGTGCTGTGGGGCAGGAGGGGACACGGGGAGGGGATCCTGTGGGGGCAGGCAGGCGGCCCAGCGTGATGCCGTGGGGCAGGTGGCTGGAGGCATATGGGGCAGGTGGGTGGCCATGGGGCAGATGCTCAGCACCTGTGGGGGGCACAGGGCCCATGCCGCACCCACCCCCTCCCTGCCCTTCCCCCCACAGGCCAAGCGCCCGCGCTGCAGCCAGGGGGTGGGGGCCGCTGAGGGCAGGACGGACCCGGGGGGCTCAGCCCCCATCCAGCGCCTCCCCCCGGAGCTGGTGAGTCAGCACAGGGTGGGCTGAGGGGCTAGAGCCGTGGGTCCGTCGAGCCCAGAGGCCCCATAGCCGGGGGGCTGGGTCCGTCGAGCCCAGAGGGCCCCGCACCCGGGGGGCTGGATCCGTCGAGCCCAGAGGGCCCCGCACCCGGGGGGCTGGCTCCGTCGAGCCCAGAGGGCCCCGCACCCGGGGGGCTGGGTCTGTAGAGCCCAGAGGGCCCCGCACCCGGGGGGCTGGGTCCGTCGAGCCCAGAGGGCCCCGCACCCGGGGGGCTGGGTCCGTCGAGCCCAGAGGGCCCCGCACCCGGGGGGCTGGGTCCGTCGAGCCCAGAGGGCCCCGCACCCGGGGGGCTGGGTCCGTAGAGCCCAGAGGGCCCCGCACCCGGGGGGCTGGGTCCGTAGAGCCCAGAGGGCCCCGCACCCGGGGGGCTGGGTCTGTAGAGCCCAGAGGGCCCCGCACCCGGGGGGCTGGGTCCGTCGAGCCCAGAGGGCCCCGCACCCGGGGGGCTGGCTCCGTCGAGCCCAGAGGGCCCCGCACCCGGGGGGCTGGGTCCGTAGAGCCCAGAGGGCCCCGCACCCGGGGGGCTGGGTCTGTAGAGCCCAGTGGGCCCCGCACCCGGGGGGCTGGCTCCGTCGAGCCCAGAGGGCCCCACACGTGGAGGGCTGGGTCCGTCGAGCCCAGAGGGCCCCACACCCGGGGGCTGGGTCCGTAGAGCCCAGAGGGCCCCGCACCTGGGGGGCTGGGTCCGTCGAGCCCAGAGGGCCCCGCACCCAGGGGGCTGGGTCTGTAGAGCCCAGTGGGCCCCACACCCGGGGGGCTGGGTCCGTCGAGCCCAGAGGGCCCCACACCCGGAGGGCTGGGTCCGTCGAGCCCAGAGGGCCCCATACCCGGGGGCTGGGTCCGTAGAGCCCAGAGGGCCCCACACCCGGGGGGCTGGCTCCGTCGAGCCCAGAGGGCCCCGCACCCGGGGGGCTGGGTCTGTAGAGCCCAGTGGGCCCCGCACCCGGGGGGCTGGCTCCGTCGAGCCCAGAGGGCCC